ATTTCCAAATGTACATTTTTCAGAAATGAGTTCACAACCATGAGCTTTCTGAATTCAGAACTGTGACGATTAAACCAATTAAAGTAGTAATCAGTATGCCAACAAACTGGGTAACCTAGATGAAACGGGCAAATTCCTAGAAACACACGATGTAACTAAACTGACTCATGAAGAAATAAAAAATATGAATAGACCTATAATTAAAAAGACGACGGAATAAGTAACCAAAAAGCTCCCAGCAAAGAAAAGCCCAGGGCCAGATGGCTTTACTGGTGAATTCCACCAAACACTTAAAGAGTTAACACCAAACCTTCTAAAACTCTTCGAAAAAAATGAAGAGAAGGAAATACTTCCTAAATCATTCTATAAGATCAGCACTACCCTGATAGCAAAGCCAGACAAACTACAGATCAATATCCCTTATGAATACTGTTACAAAAATCTTTAACAAAATACTAGCAAACTGAATTTAGCAGCATATTAAAAGGTTTATACACCATGACTAAGTGGAATTTACTCATGAAATGCAAGGATGGTTCAACTTACAAAATTAATCAACATAATACAATAATAAAATGTAGGAAAAAAACCACACAAGCATCTCAATTGATTAAGAAAAAGCATTTGATGAAATCCAATTCCCCTTCATGATAAAAACACTCAACACTAGAAACAGAAGGAAACTTCCTCAACGTGATAAAGACCATATATGAAAAACCCATAGTGAACCTCACACTCAATGGTGAGAGACTGAATACTCTTCCCCTAAGGTCAGGAACAAAACAAGATGCCTGCTTTCAACACTTCTATTCAATATGGTACTGAAAGTTCCAGCCAGAGCAATTAGGCAAGAAAATAAATAAAAGGCATCCAAATTGAAAGAGAAGTAAAATTCTCTCTCTTCAATGATGACATGATCTTATACGCAGAAAACCCTAAAGAGTCCACCAAAAAACAAAACAAAAACAAAAAACAAAAAAACAAAACAAAACCAAAACCAAAAAAACCGTGTTGGAATAAATAATAAATTCAGCAAAGTTCCAGGATACAAAATCAATGAACAAAAATCAGCAGCATTTCTATATGCTGGCAATGAACAATCTGAAAAGGAAATTAAGAAAACAATCCCATTTACAACAACACTAAAAAGAATGAAATACTTTGGATTACGTTTACCAAGGAGGCTAAAGACTTGTACAATGTAAATTAAAGAGTATTGTTGAGAGAAATTAAAGACTTAAATAAACATAAAGACATCCCATGCTCATGAATTGGAAGACTTGATATTGTTAGGATGGCAATACTACCCAAAATGATCTACAGATTCAGTGCAATCCCTATCAAAATCTCAATGGTGTTCTTTGCACAAATAGAAAAATCTATCCTCAAATTCATATGGAATCTCAAGGAATCCCAAACAGTCAAAACAATCTTGAAAGAGAACTAAGTTGGAGGACTCATTCTTCCTGATTTCAAAACTTACTACAAAGCTACAGTAATCAAAACGATGTGATACTGGCATAAGGACAGACATACAGACCAATGGGACAGAATAGAGAGTCTAGAAACAAACCCTTGCATATATGGTTAAATGATTTTCAACAGGGGTACAAAGAACATTCAACAGAGAAAGGACAGTCTTTTCAACAAATGGTACCGGGAAAGCTGGATCTTCACATGCAAAAGAATATACTGGATCCTTATGTTATACCATATACAAATATTAACTTAGAACGGATCAAACACCTAAATGTAGGAGCTAAAACTATAAAACTCTTAGAAGAAAAACACAGGGGAAAAGCTTCATGATCTTGGATTTGATGATGGTTTATTAGGTATGATACCAAAAGCAGGATCAACAATAGAAAAAGATAAACTGAACTTCATTAAAATTTAAAACTTTGTGCATCAAAGGACATTATCAGGAAAGTAAAAAGACAACCTTGGGAATGGGAGAAAATATTTGCAAATCACCCATCTGATAAGGGGTTAATATCCAGAATACATTAAGAACTCCTACAATTCAACAACAACCACCAAAACCCAATTTAAAAATGGGCAAAGGATCGCATAGACATTTCTCCAAAGAAGATACACAAATGGCCATAGGCACATGAGAAGATGCTCAATATCACTACTCATCAAGGAAAGGCAAATCAAAACTACAACCACAATTACGATGTGTATAACCAATAAAACATAAAAAGAAAAGTGTTGGCAAGGGTGTGGAGAAGCTGGAACCCTTGTGCATTGCTGGTGGGAATGTAAAATGATGTGGCAGCTATGGAAAACACGGCGGTTCCTCAAAAAGTTAAACATAGAATTACTATATGATCCCAAAATTCCACTTCTGGATATATACACAAAAGAACTGAAAACAGGGACTCAAACAGATATTTGTATACCCACTACTTACAACAGCCAAAAGCTAGAAGCAACCCAAATGCCCACTAACAGATAAATGGATAAACAAAATGTGTTATATACAAACAATGGAATATTATTCAGGCTTAAAAAGGAATGAAATTCTGACACATGCTGCAACATGGCTGAACCCTGACAACATTACGCTGAATGAATAAGCCAGTCACAGAGAGGCAAGTAGTATACGAATCTCTTATACGAGATACTTAGAGTAGTCAAATGCAATGAGACAGAAAGAATGGTGGTTGCCAGGAACTGGGGAGAGAAGGGGGAAGGGGAGTTATTGTTTAATGGGTACAGAGTTTCCATTTGGGATGATAAAAAGTTCTGGAAATAGTGGTTTAATTATATAACATTGTGACTATCCTTAATGTCACTGATTTGTACACTTAAAATGGTAAATTTTGGGGCTTCCCTGGTGGCGCAGTGCTTGAGAGTCCGCCTGCCGATGCAGGAGACGCGGGTTCGTGCCCCGTTTCGGGAGGATCCCACATGCCGCGGAGCGGCTGGGCCCGTGAGCCATGGCCGCTGAGCCTGCGCGTCCGGAGCCTGTGCTCCGCAAATGGGAGAGGCCACAACAGTGAGAGGCCCGCATAACTCAAGAAAAAAAAAAAAAAAAAACAAGCATGAAATATGAAGCATCACAAATAAATTATGGTCAAACTTAGTTTCAATAATTCTGGGTGCCTAGCGATCTTCTAAGAGCCCAATGAAAACAAGGTTGAGTATGTTCCAGTTTTACAGTGTGTGTCTCCACCTACTGTATTTACTGGAAAGCAGCTGAAGCACTCCTTCTAATACTGCAGTGAGGTTTTCAAGCTGCGTCCTTGGACAACCTAAGCTCTGCATTGGACGCATGTATACATACGTGTCTGAAAGCACCACTAGAGGGCAGGCTAATGCTTAGTCCAGATGCAAAGCTGAGACTGGGCAACTGAGTCCTGAGGAAAAAAAGGAACGCACAAAAAAAAAAAAAAAAAAAATGGTAAATTTTATGTTATGTATATTCTACTACAATTTTTTAAAAAGTAAAGGAAAAAAAATAGGTCCATATTTTCGGCGCATTGAGAGAATCCGGCTTAAAAGGACAGTTTTCCTGATAGCCTGGGGCATCCTTCCCATTGTAAGGGGGCCTGAGGATGCCATTTTGTCCTTTGTATTCTGCTCTCAAACCCAATTCCATAATCTGGACCCTGAATCCAAGGAAACAGATCGGGATGACTAGCTACTGTTTGAAAGGCTGAGGTCTTGAGTATCCCTAGCCCAAGCAGTTTGCAGGGATAACGGAAAGAGCCGACAAATTGCCAACCAAAACAGAAGCCAATCCCGCTGGCTTTCACTTTCTATTACTTCCCCTTACACTTTCTCGCAGGACACCAGACAGCCATGCAGAAAGGAAGCGGGCCAAACCAACCTGCCTGATTTTTTTTTAGTTGGAAAATGGAGTCCCTGTTTCCCCCCATCCATTGCAGGTCTAGATATTTAATATCCTTTGTATTTTGTACAGTTGAGGACAAAGTTTTTGCCCACCCCAAAAGAGCAGAACGAACAACGTCCATCCTCTGTACTCTCTATACTCTCTAGGGCTCTTGCATACAGATAATCTAACAGATTATCCTGTTAGATCTCAAAATAACCCAGTGAGAATGAATGTTTAGGGGTTGTTATCCTCCACTGGAGACATAAAGAAACCGGAGCTCATGAGATGAAGCAATTAGTCCCAAATCCTACAACCCCAAGTGATAGGACCAGGATTCGTACAGAAATAGTGAACTTCAGAGTTCTCCTTCCTCTCGATTACTTCGGAAAGAACAACGAAGTAGAAATGGAATCAGACCATTTTGGTGTCAAACAAGACCAAGGAAAAATGCTTCCAAGTTTGGCAACTAATAGGACTAAATCCCCAAAGAAGAGCCTGGTAAAGAACTAAGCGCCCGCCTCTTTCCC